AAATCAAAACCTGGCCTATAATTATCTCATTTATGCCATTTATTGGGATTAAGCAAAATATGTGATTAGATTTATACCATCTCTGTCTGTGAAATTGCTGCTGCTCACAGATAAATCATCAGGAGTTGTGATGCCATTGGTACTGGAATTTCCAATCTTCTTTTGTGTCAAGTGCTCAAGAGTCATATTACTAGTTTTTTGTGACTCTTTAGTCAAGTTTAGAAAAACCTAGAAAGAAAAGCCAGGATACTTCATTAACATAAAACATGCATATCTTTTCTAGTTTCTTGACTCAATTTTGATTTTGATTTTTTTATCACATTTATTGAGACATGTGACTTTAAGTGACTATTTTTTAGAATAATTTTAAGTGAATATTTTTATATGTAATAGATAGTTGTTCTATAATTGGAGCAACATGTTTGTTCTCAGAAGTTTGTTTTACATATGAATGATATTAAGATAATGGTAAGATAGTCTAATTTTGTAAAATGTTTATATAAGAATATTTCTTTTCTTAAAAAAAAGTATGCATATTGATTCTAAGGGAACAGCAAGTTATAGCAGCTTTAAGAAGACAGAGCATGTCCAGACATACCTCTTCCACGGTGGTATCTGAAATGCCATAGCACCCGATGTTGAGGTCACCCATGCCATGGTCCAGTGCTCTTAGGAGTGACAGATAGGCCCCTGAGACTTTGGTGCTAAATGGAGGAAGCACATAAACCAGCTCTCCCCCGATGTCCTCCTTGAGGTAGGCTTCAGGGAGGTGTGATTTGATCATTGCTGTCACAGCCATCGTGTCACATATTGCACTTGCATTTAGATTTGGGCTCTAGGGACAAAAACAGAGGTTAAATACTCCCCTTTCTATAGACTATAGGGTCCAAGGGCCCTAATCGGAGGGTGGTGAGTTCTTTTAGGCCACCCCAGACCTGAGTCAGATCACAGATGACTCCTCCAGTGGTTCCCTGTCCCATGTGGGGGTCGCTACAGTTGTCTACAAATCACTGTTCTACTGGCTCCATTCTCCCACCTCACCCAATCTCTTCTCCAGCCTCCTTGCCCACTGTCTTCCCTGACACTTGCTCCACTCCAGCAACCACAGTCTCTTTTCTGGGTTAGAGTGCTTCAGGCTCAGGCACAGC